CCCCCCCCCCCCCCCCAAGCCAATCCAGGTGCATCTCTGTGTGTGTCTCTGTGGGCGTGGATGCGTGCAGATGGGTGGTTGGTGTGAGCCGGCTCGTGTCGCAGTGGTCAGCTGCCGTGGTGTCGTCACGCCACACTTTCCTGGTCAAGCGGTCCGTCATGAAGGTCGACGAACTGGCCAGGGAGAAAGGTAAGCAGATCAGTGCTTCCATTTGCTCTGCACAAGGAGGGAGTATGTGTCTTGCGTGTCATGATGTCGGTAGAGACGACTCGTGCGGGTCTGCTGATGTCGGCGATCCGCAGGGCATCTCTGCTCAGCGCACCGCAGAGGCGGAGAGAGACATAGCTAGTACCGGATGTGTAGATCTATCTGCGTACATACATACATACATACATACACGCGCGCGTCCATACAGTGCCACGTGCGTAATGTCTACATGTGCAAAACGTATGTTGCGACTGCTCACGGGAATATTTGGGATAAGTGCGTGACGCTGCCGACGAATGGGGTACGACGAATTTACGACATGCAAAGTGGGGGCCTGCTTGGGGGGTCACCGTCTCGGGTTACCGTCCCGACCAGCTTCTACCCCAGCACAATCTCAACGAATCCCAATTCCCATCCATTCGTGTCATCGTGATGATGAGGGCAGGTGTCGTCATCGCCATCATCGCGGCCGCGCTCTCCTGCGGTATGCACATCTCTGAAAACCCCGGCAGAATCCATGCCCTCAATTTTGCGAATTGCGTGTGTGAGAACATGCAGGTGCGGCCAAGGAATTTGATCTTCAAGATACTGCGAAGAGTAAGGGGAGACAGCTGTGCTCTGCAATGAACGATGCCTTGCTTTCATGCTGGTTGCAGGGCGGGGCCACCAAGGGCACAGGAACACCAGCTTACCTCTTCCGGCTGAGTTCAAATGCGCAAAAGACCCCGCACGTACGTGAATGAAAAGCCACGCACACCTTTTCACCGGCATGGCCGTGTCTCTCACTCTCTCTCTCTCTCGAACGACCGACAGCTTGTGATTTCTCGGGAGACGCCGAGAAAGTGTGCGGAGAAACCGAGGAAGAGGAGCTCCTGATATGCGTTAGCGGGTACAGCAGATGCACGTGCGGGATGCGTGTACTTCGATGTTGTGCCATGCTTGGCCCAGGAAGACGCCCACTGAGCAGGAAATCACCCTCAAGGATCCCGAAATTTATTGGGTCGACTGGCGAAATGTCCGAGTGCCCTGCGAGACAAAAGCAAGGCAAGCCATCCAAACCATTCATTCGGTCGCTGCCTCCGACCTCGAAGCCCTCTGGGAAAAATGATAGGAAAACGCAGACAGATGGCAACGTGTACATGTGCACGGCCGCTTCATCTTGGGCCTGCTTTACCGTTTGTTTGTTGGTACAGCGTCTGCTGCCCGAAGGCATACAGCCTCACCGACATTGACGAGGTACTCGACCCCGAAGAGGAGGCCGAGCGAGCCGTGCTCAGGGAGGAGGAGGAACGCCAGCTTCGCCTCGCCTCATACCCGTTCAAAACCGCCGAGGAGCTCGAGGCCGCCATGGATGAGTTCGAGGCCAAAGAGCGGCTGAAAGAGGAAGAGGCCGCCAAGGCGCTGGCCGCAAAGGCTGCCAAGGAGCTGGCCGCGAAGCCGGAACGCCCCAAATCGAGACAGAAAGTCACTTCTGTACACCCTTCGGTCCGTACGCGCACCACAAGGACGACTCCCTCGAATGCAGCAGGGAAGACGGCAACAACAGCAGGGAAGACGACGACAACAGCAGGGAAGACGACTTCCTCGAAGGCAGCAAGCAAGACGACGCCGACCAAGACGACGCCGACCAAGACGAGGACAACCAAGAAGGCCCCGTCAGAGGCAAAGGCCCAGCCAGTTTGGCACTGACGCCGACGGCTTCAAAAGCGAAGACCTGAGGTGAGCGAATGTGCGAGGGGAGCCGACCAGGCGTCATTCTTTCTCCATGGATGCATACGTACAGGCAGACAGAGACACAGATCATCAAGACAACCGATTGAGTCGATCCTGGGGTGATGTCAAGCTGGTCCTGTCGGTCGGACAGAACATACATGTACGTACAGTGTCCGTACGTATGTACATGCATTTCCACATATGTACGTACGTACATGGGACACACTACATTGACCGATTGAATCTGTGAGTCACTCGATTGATTCTCGCTCGGTCGGTCAATCAGTGACTGGGTGAGTGAGTAAGAGAGAGAGAAGATCAAATGTTTCCTGTGCGTAAGGGCAAAGCTGAGAGATGCACACAGTCAGTGTCAGTATATAGTCAGATAGATGGATAGAATGAGCGATACTATGAGCCCCCCGCAGCCCCAGTGTGAATCGACCAAAAGAGTGGTCGCACAACCGGCAGCACGTTCCCCCCGCCCGCCCGCCGCGCCGGCCGGCCGCAGAAGGTCCTACCTCATGCCCTAAAAACAAGAAGAACCGACACGCGACACCCCTTGGTAGGTGGCGCAACCCAGCACATGTAATCACGCATTCAACAAGCAAGCCACACACTGCACGCACGCAGGAGCAAATTGTGTTGAGCGTGTGAGTGAGTGAGTGAGTGAGTGAGTAAGGCACATGTAGGCACGCAGAGAAGGGGGGCGAAGCGATTGGTTGGGGGGAGGGGGTCGGGGGTGGTGTGGGGCCATAGACCTGTTCTCTCTCCATCCATCCATCCACCCATGGAAGGCAGGAAGGAAGTGTGGATGCAATGCAATTGGCGGTTGATCGATCGACAAATAGACCGATAAGTCACGCAGCGATGGATGGCAAAAGATGATCGACCTGATCGTGTCTGTCTGCGCGAAGGAAGAGTGGATGGAGGACGGACACAATCAGTGGTGCGTGCGTTTGGCCATGGTGTACATGCATGCATTGTCATTGTGCTGCACAAACAAAGAAACCAAGGGCCCCAAACACTTTCAATTGCAAGCCCTCAGTCACAGTACGTACGTACGTGTCAAACACGCGTAGACTAAAAAAACCCATGTACACGTACATATGTATGTCCACGTACACATTGTACACACACACGCGCGTACGTGTCTCTCTGCCTTCAGTCGGTCTTTCTCTCGCTCGGTCGGTCAATCAGTCAATTGGTTGATTGATTCACTGCTTGGGAGTGAGCGACTGAGCGAGCGACTGTGTGGCTGCCGACAGACAGACAGCCATCGAGCCATCGAGCCATTGATTGATCGGCCGGTCATGTCGACAGAGCAGCAGGAGGGCGGTGCAGCTGAGCGTGTGCCTTTGCTGGGTGGTCTGCTGGGCGGCGGCCTGACGTCGACGTTCGAGTGGTTCCCGCGGTCCAAGGGCATGGCCGGGTGGGATGTGCGAGAGAGTTGTGTGCTGATCGGGCTGCTGCAGCTGGTGGTGGCCTTCATCCTGCACGAGACCATCGAGTACTTCAGGCCTGGCCTGCCCGGCGTCAAACTCTTTCTGCTCGCCTACTTCATTGCCGTCGGGACCTTCTTGTACGTACTCACACACAGCTGCAGACACACACAGAGAGAGAGGGAGACATGGATGGATGTCTGCTGGGCCTCCCACTGCGAACAAATCAGTCGCCCTCTTTGTGTATTTGGGTGTGTGTGTGTGTGTCTGATGTGGTCACCATGGGTATGTCGATATGATCGTCATATTCCAGCAGGTCGTTGGTGAGAGTCTTGACGCACACCAGCAGACCATCAGGACGGAGGCCCACACTTGAAGCACATGACGACGACGACGACGACGACGACGACGACGCATCTTGCCCAACGAGCGGCAGTGAATCTGACACACAACATGCAGCGCGCAACATCTCCCCCATGCCCCTGCCCGGCTTTGCCCACCCACCACAGCACTCCGGAAACATGTCGATGAGCCAGCCGATGAAGAAGGAAGGCTTTCTTGCTGAGATCATGCTGCCCAGACAATACCACTTCTGAGCGACGACCGATGGCGCATCACCAGCCAGCTTGCACAGGACGTGACGCGGGCCAGACGGCCTGCAGAAGGGTAAACACACACTCCTGAAGGGTGCAGCTTCGCCCTCTCCCCCTTCTCTTTCTCTCTGCGTACGTGTGGTACGTGTCGGAGTGCCCTTTCTTCTTGGGCGGACGACCGACTACAGGGATGAGGACGGGCAGCAACGAGCGGCGCGACGCACACGTGCCCAGAATGCGAAACAGCACGGGCTGATCAACACAAACACAACGCCAATCACACCTATGCGCTTACACCGTCTTGCTGCGTATTGATCCGTGTGGTGAGGCTCACCATGAGGTGCTGTTTGATCCGCTCGAGTGTGTGTGGCCGCCCCTCTACCATGAGCAGCCTGTGGGACCTGCCCGACACTCTGCGAACCCATAACCGCCCCTCATGGGACTCAGACGGACTCAGACAACGACGCAGATCATCTGAGAGAGTGACGGCAGAGAATTGACAGCACGAGGGATTTGTTGCATGGTGTGATCTGGCTGTGTACTCATTGCGCCTACCGAACATGGATGTGTGTGTGAGGAGGTCCAGTGCTGCAGCCTCGCTCAACACAACCAGGGGTAACGACCGGTGGTCCGAGCCGCTCATCGACGGGGGGAAAGAGGGAGAGGGTCTTGGAGGGGGATCGCGAAGCCAAAAAGCTCGCCTTGACGGGAGTGAGGCCGAAGAAACAACGCCTTTCTCTCGTTAAGAACGGCGTTCACCCCGACGCAGACTCATCCCTTGGCAAGCCCCGCCTATTTGCATTGGAATCCGCCCCCACACTGCTGCAAGACACAACCCGTCGAGAGAGCAGCCGATCATGAGGCCGCCCGGAGAGCGGACGCAAGAGCGATCGGAGGAGACGCTGAGTCATTCATCGGCCGATGAGGAAGCACCGGCCAGGCAGCGAGCCGCCTCCCGCAAGTCGGTGTGGCGCATCCTCACCGAGCCAGACAGACGGCAGGCAGGGGAGGCGCTGCTGGCAGCAGACGCCCAGCCGTACAGCAAGGAGAACAAGTACGCGTACACGATGGAGCCGGTGGAGCTGGAGACTCGGCGGCTGGTGAACCCGCGCACGTCGGTGATGACACCGCGGGAGCTGACGAAGGAGCTGAGACGGCAGACGATCATGTCGCCTGAGTTTGAGGAGGCGCTGAAAGAAGAGTGAGTGAAGTGAAAGAGTGCGGAGTGAAGGCTCTTCATTCGAGTCTGCTTGCCTTCTTTGAATGTGCAGGAACCCGTCTGCCCACCACATGCTGTCAGCGACCTGGATCGGCTACACGCTGCAGGCCAGCCTCTTCTTCGCTTCCGTCTTGGTGACGTCGCTGTCCCCCAACATCATCGCATACGCCAAGAGACACCCCAAGACGGGCGAACGATATGAGCCGTTCATCGACGGTGAGCGAGGCGAGCAGAAGCTGCCAATATGCAGACACGATTGCCGTCTGTCTGTGTCTCTTGGTGCAGGTGTCCTGTATGTGGTGATGAATCTGTCCTTGCTCGTCATTATGGTGGCCACATCAGTGGTCATGCAAGGCGTCGCCGGGCTGAAACGCTGCTTCAACATCAAGGTTCGGCGGATGATACTCGCATGTGGTGCCACAGCACTCTGCACACGCCCGTGTTGTGTGTGTGCCATCTGCAGGAGATTATGGTCATGTCGCCTCCTGCCATGCTGTACGGCATGTGTGACGTGCTCTACTCCATCTCACTGTCCTCCATAATCCCGCACTCTCCAACGTCCTCTCCCAGTCAAAGACCATCCTCACCGCAGCCATTTGCCAGTACATGTGTCGAGCAACAAATGCACCGGCACTCCCGTGTGATGGCTCTTTGCTAGGTTTGGTCTCAAGAGGGAAGTGACGGCATTGCAATGGACATTCTTATTATTGAAGATCATGGTGATTTTGCTGTTTATGCGGGTGGAGCAGCTGTTTGAGATCAGCGTTGCGAGCAAGGCTGAGAGGCAGGGGGAGACCGTGGGGCTCATCATCTACCTCATGGTGGTAAGACAGGCCTGGGACAGACACGACGTAGACCACCTCTCGTGCCGTGCATCCGGCTCTTGTCCATTTAGATCCTGATTGCGATCCCTGCGGGCGTCTTGTCAGACCATCTCTTTAAGAAGACGGCACAGAATCCATTCTACATACAAATGGCCCAGGCAAAGCACAAGCACCCTGCCGTAATGAGATAAATCATGAGAGTGGGTGCGTCCATGCAGACGGCTTGCGTGACGACCACCGCCGCCGGCCTGGTGGGCATCCTTCAGGCGTCTTATCCTGTCAATATTTGGCCCAAGCTCCTCAAGGAGGGCCCCTTCGCCGGCATGCACTGCAAGGGGCTGACTCCATGTGGATGGAATCTTCGTGTGTGGTTTATGATATTCTGGTGAGGGAAATGCAACCGCTCCTCTCGTCTCCACGTGTGTAGCCGCATGTTTGTGTGTGTACGGCAGGTTGCTGCTCCGTATCATCTTTGGGTGCCTGGTGATGAAGCGGCTCGATGCCATCTGGAAGTCGCTTGCAGATGCCGTCTCCACGGTCAGTATGCATGTGTGTCTCTGCCCTCTGCACCCATGACAGTTTGCCTCGTGCGCGCAGGTCGTGACGTACAGCTTTTCGATCATGATCTTTGGAGCGCCGATGGGGCCCGCCTTCGAACCAAAAGTGAGTTTTCAAGGCATCAGGTCGGATGGAGACATAGAGAGAGGAGACTGCGTGTCCCTCCTTGCTCCAGATGTTTCTGGCCTGTACTCTGGTCATCACGGTGATCGGGTAAGCCACCTCGCACGACAGGTGACAATTCACGTCTTCCTTTCTCCCATGTGCAGCTATTTGATCACCAAGATTGAGCCGAAGGAGCCCCGCGCCGAGGAGACAGCACAGATCGAGCCGAAAGAGGACAGGAAACCCGTCATTCGAACAACGCGGACATTGGAGTCCATACAAGAACGCCCGGGCGACTGGGACGATACCCAGCGAGACCGCTCTGAGAGTGAGTCCGCATTTGAACCCGCAAGGGGTCTGCGTGCTGTTGGGGTGACTGTTGAGATGAAGCGGGAGGGACAATAGGAGTGACAGATTACGGAGATAGGACAATGTCATGACAACTGAGACATGTACGTATGCAACAGGGCGTGTGCGATGGAATGGAGTTGAGACATTCAAAGGCTGCGTGAGCAAAGCTTCGTGCCAGTACATTCGCAAAATCCCATGCAAAATCCTTACGATTTACGAATTTGAATGAAATGGGGGGTACGTGGGGCCAGGGAACAGCGTTCGTCCATCACCAAGAATGATCGTTCCCCTCCCGAAGCTTAAACAGGTCAAGCCCGTCTCGAACAGAAGACTTGGCGTGCCCCCTGCCACCTCCCCTCACCACGACACGGTGCCAGGCACTTTCAAATTATCGGAGACCGAAGTGAGTGTTGAGCTGAGGACGAAAGAGGACATTCACTGGCTGAAGTCGCTCGACTCGAATGGCCGTTCGCCATTGCACATCGCCTGCCTCGAGGTAAGTTAAAGGGGCTCGCATGGCATTGCAAGTATGTCCTCTTTTTTGTGTCCTTTTCTGTTCCGCACACTGAAGGGGAATCTGCCCGTGGTGCAGAAGATCCTCTCCTCGAAGGAGGGCAGGGATTCCGAACTGATCCTGCAAAGGGACAACTACAACAATCCTCCCATTCTGAGTGCTTGTGTCCGTGGCAATCCGCTGGGAGATCAGACCATAAGGCCGCCGCCGCCCTCTAATGCCACACGCATTGTTGGCCTGCTGCTGGACCCCACTGCCGGCGGCGCTGATTTGGGGCTGCCTCTCACCGCCCTGCCGCCCCTCACGGAGAGCTCTTCGTCACGTTCTGTCACTGCTTCGCCGCATGTGCTGAATCGGACTACATTGTGAGTTCTACAACACACGCCACTTGCCTGCACTTACGTGTGCTGTCATTCCTGCAGCTGGTCGTGTCTGCACTGGTCCTGCTTTCATGGTGATGAGACGCTGACAAGTCTATTGCTGGAGCATGGAGTGCGTTACGACCTTATGGAGGCGCAAATGCTGCTGCCCATTGACATCGCCGGCATGCGGAGACACAGAAGGGTTGTCGGAACTCTGCTGCACTTCATGCGACAAACACCCCCGTCAGAGCTGAAAGCGACCGAGAGCGTCGATATACTCAGGTAGCATTCCAGACAGGGGGGCAGGTGTGGGAGAGTGTCCTGCCAGTGAAGCGCAACCATTGTACTTCTGTAGAAAGGCCAAAAGGAAAGATTTGATGGCGACACCCCGCAGAATCAACCAAGCGGTCACATATTGGGCATCGGCATTCAAATTCCAGAAGACTCTCCGGTCGGTGAAGTCTCCTCAGGACGGCCTTCAAGCTCAGCCAGCCTTGCTCAAGCAGACAGCTCTCCATGCTGCATCTCAGGCAGGTACACATGAGACAAGTGATTCTGAAGAGACGTTGGACTTCATGAATTCCCTCTCTCTCTTGACCAGGCCACGTGGAGCCGTTGAAGCTGTTGCTTGAGCGGGGGCTCACCAGCATTCCAGCGTCGAAGGCACTGAGAATCCTTCACCACCAAGACGTCAACGGCAACACATGTCTCCACCTGGCAGCCCTTCATGGGCACAGCAAGTGCGTGCGGCTTCTACTGGCCGCTGATGATCGATTCCACGCCGAGGTTGCGAGACAGGACAAGGGTCGACCCAAGGTGACCCTGTCCAGGGCCAGAACGGGACGACTAGCAGCGGGACGTGTGCACACGGCTGAGGGAAGGGGCAGGATGAGACTTTTCTGTATTGCGAACAAGTAGGTACGTCTCCCAAGAGAGGTCTGCCAGGATTGCTGATCTTTTCTCCATGCATTGTCTCTGTACGCAGTGATGGCGCGACCCCTGATGCGCTGATGGGCGACCGCAATCTTCACACGGGCTTCCTGCACCAGCTGAAGGCAGCGGTCGATCAGAGGTCAAAGACTGACTTCGTCCTCGTCATCGATGGCAACAAGGTGGGTCAGCTTCTTCAAACGTGCGCCAAGATATTTGTCGCTCTGTGGTTGGTACAGGCATCTTCCCTGCATCTCGTGCGGTCAGCTTTGTCTGCCTGTCCTTTCTTCCAGGTGGCATACATTCGGTCCAAATCAGGTGATAACAAGTCAGGCTGAAATACACTTTTAGTACCTTATATCTGTGTCTCATCGTAGGTCCGTACGAGTTCATTCTCATCCATCTCCCTGACAGTCACCTCCACGCCGCTGCTGAGGCAACGAATCTCCGCCTGCTCAAGAAGGACACAGACGCTCTTCGCGACGAGCCCTTCACGGCCAGAGACGCACACGAATTCCTGCCGTTTCGCTCTCGTGACCGCATTGAGGTTGTCCACAAGTGCCTGAGCGCCTTTGCACTGCCTCTGCACAAACTTCTGGAGAGGAAAGACGTCTTGAAGGCGTTTCCTGTGCATGATCGATTCGATATTGACACCATTCGACGGCTGTGGCGATACAAACCTTTTCGCCCTCCTTATCCGCTAAGCCACCTCAGACCTTTCCTCATGGTGAGGAGGAGACAGAGACAGGCTTATTCAATCTTATTTCTCGTGGATCGCGTTATGTGTCAGGAGGGCCCACATCTCGACTACCTGCACCTGCACGCCATCCGCAACTACTTCGGCGAGCGCGTGGCCTTCTCTTGCGCGTGGCTGGCCTTCAACTGTGTGTGGCTGCTTCCCCTCATCCCGTTTGGCTTGGCCCTCACAGCGTGGCAGATCGCGATCGGACAGCTCGCCCTGCCCCACTACCTGCTACCGGCGTGGGGCGTGTGTGTATCCGTCTGGGCCACTGTTGTCGTCGAGCGGTGGAAACGAAAACGAGCTGAGCTGTGTCTGGCGTGGCGTGTCGGGGAGAGTGAGATATCACCGCTCCGGCGTCAGTATAAGGGAAACGAGACAGTGAATTGGCTCACGGAGGAGGTCGAGCCTAGAGCACACCGGTCGCGGCGATATGTCATTGCGTTCCTGACTCTTCCCGTGTTCTTCGGCCTCATGGCGGCCCTGTTGATCGCGTAAGGAGACTGGCTGGGGATGAGACAGTGCGTGATCCGTAATGGTGTCCTTTCTGTGTCTGATTTCCGCAGCTATGTCATGTCCAAGATCTATCAGCGAGTAATTCAGGTATAGGCCACAAACAGACAAATCAATGCCTTCATGTAGCCTACTCGAACCGCCTCCATGCTCACGTGTCTTTGTTAGGCCGAGATGGACTCCGGGTTTGGCGCGGAGTTCCTCTACTATGGCCCGACAGGTGTGTGCAGCAGAATGGCTCCGACTCCGTCATGTGTCCATGTGTGTGTCTCTGCAGGTGTGTACAGTATTGTGGTTGTGGTCATCAACCTGCAGTATCGGAGGCTGGCGTTTCGCTGTGCCGACATGGAGAATCAGCGCACGCAAGTAGGCTACAAGACATAACTGTGGCTGCCCAGTGAAATGGGTGTGTGTTTCAGGAAGAGTATGACCAGTCCGTCGTCTCCAAGACTTTCCTGTTTGTCTTTCTCAACAGCTACCTCACTCTCTTCTACTCTCTGTTCAGAGGTCAGAGAAGATGGTCGGTGCGTATCCACCTATTTGTCAAATGCTGGTTCGGTCACAGACAGGCGGAAGGAGCCGCTGCTCTTCCTTGTCATCTGTCTCATGATATGCACACAGGCCGCATCGTTCTTCACGGTCAGTGAGGAAATATGCATGCATCATCCACACAGCTGAGATTTGTTCTCTTCAGCTCCACATACTTCCAAAAGCCCTGATATGGCGAAAACGACATCGCACGGAACACAAGATGGACAGCAGCAGCAATGACAAGAAGCAGCCCTCAGGGCACAAGATCGGCTTTACGAGGCCGCACAACCAGCGCCATGGACCAAAGCGAGTCGCACCCGTCCTTTGTCTAGAGGAGAGCGGGAGTCCTGTGTTGCGAGATTCGACGACGGATGAGCCGATAGAAGACTCCAGGCCCTGGGGCATCGACCAAGTGGAACATAACTTCACTCTGCTGGAGTGGCTGCGGCCGACAGACGATTTCGAGTCTATGATCGTGCAGTTTGGCTACGTGGTGATGTTCTCGGCCATCTTCCCTCTGGCACCGTTGCTCGCACTTATTGGTGAGGCGATGTTCATTCGTGTCTCCCTCTGCCATTCATACGTGTCCCTATCGACAGGCAATTTGTTGGAGCTGCGCACGTTCGTCATAGGCCGCATAACCCATGAACGCCGCCCCCTGCCCGAGCGAGCCACCGGCATCGGCCCATGGCAACCCATCTACGAGTTCTTCTCCATCTTTTCGGTCGTCGCCAATCTGATTGTGCTGTGGTTCACCGAGAATCCCACGCCCGAGGAATGCGACAGCAAGGCTGGAGGAATGGGACTCACGCATTGGGTGATCGTCGAGCACCTGCTTATCCTGGTCAAGCTAATTGTGGCTGTCTGTGTGCCCAATGCGCCGCTGTGGGTGACGGTGAAGATCGACAAACTGAGAAGAAGGCGAATGAAGAAAAGCCACGAGCGTAGCGCCATTGAGTCGCAGCACGGCGCATCGATCATGACGAAGAAGGCGGCATTCTCTGAACACCAGAAGGACGAGACAGCGGCAGTGCCAGAGCAACACGCGGAAGTCAAAAAGTCATTCGGCAGTGCCAGCGATTCGGCACGGGTAAGAGCCAGTGCCGAATCGCTGGCCCTCACAGGCTATGAGACAGATGTGTCGGCCGATGGTGATGACGCTGTCTCGTGGTTTCCCAATCCGTCGCCCGTGGCGGCAAGTATGGCAGACCTCTTTGCGTCCCTCGCTTTGCCGGCAGAGCCTCCTGCAATGCCAGCCGAGGAAAGAGAGACATTGCAGATGAGAAATGAGGAGCTGATGCAGAGATGTGTTGAGATGCGGATGCTTCTTCCGAGGCGGTAGCTACTAGTACTAACTGACTGACTGGGTGACGGACGTTGGCTGTGGAGAGTGCATGTTTCGATAACTGGATCAATGTGACGATAGGCCGATGTGACACCTTATGCGTGTGTAACATGCTCACGGATGGCGTCCTCAGAGCGTTTGTTGTAGACAGCCGTACTCGCGTGTTGAATGCCCGCGTATGCCCCCCATCTATAGTATAGAGTGGGCATGCGTAGAGTAGACCATGCATGGCCGGCTATGCGGATGGGAGGGACATACATACGTGAATGATTGGTTTCCACCGCAGCAAAGCCTCCATGGCACACGGTCTTCAACACCAAAACAGCTAAGCCTCACAGCAAGCCTCCCACAATGCAATCAACACATGGATAGATAGGTTCAGCAGGCTTCCTCACACATAAGGGGAGCCCTCTCCGCTTCTGGACTGCATAAATCTACACACACACACACACACACCGGACACATACCTGGGTGGGCGGATGGATGGTCGCAGAATGGCTGGCACACCTGAACTGCCGTTCGTTGAGCGCCTTCTGCATCTTGATGCTGCGCAGCATCGACTGCACACACAATGGTGAGCAGGAGACTCGTTGGGGTGCCTTTTTGCTGGCCGGTGTGCCTGCCTCATTCGCCTAGCCTACCTTGGCAATGCAAGTGTCAATGACGCCGTGCTCCGCGATGTTGATCCGCCCGGCACCACCAGACAACTGCATCCATCCATCCATCCATCGATGTGAGTCCTTCCTTCTGTGTGTGTGTCCCTTCCTGACATACCTTGATGGGAACCTCGGCCTTGAGTCTGTCCAGGTTGGCGTTGCAGTAGCGCAGCAGCTGCTTGTCGTCCCGGACTGCGGCAATTGCGGCCACAGAACCACACAAGAAGCTCTTTCGTGTGTCTGCGTGTGTGTGTGTGTGTGTACTTGTGAAGGTGCGATCCTGTGCCTCCCTCTCCTTGTGTCTCCTCATGAAGCTGTTCTCCCTCAGGGTCTGCAACATTCGCGGCGTCTCGCGCTCAACCATCGCATGCTGCACACAACACACCCGAGGCAGGCAGTGTGTCGAATGCATGGCAGGCCTGCCTGCCTGCAGTGATTGATGTGAACAGGTACCTACCTGCACCAACATTCTGACGTATCTGTAGAGGGGCACCAGCTCATTCTCATTCAAGCCATTCTGCTCCACAAACTCCACCACCCTCTGACACACAGACACAGCACAGACATGTAGGTCTCGTCCACCTTCTCCCTCTCTCCCTCCCTCCCTGCTCACGCGTTTGCATTTTGTGCCACTGGTCTCGTGGGACTGGATGGTCAGCACGGCCGTGCGGTACTGCTGGTCGCTGCCCAGGCCCACCTCCAGCTGCACAAGGTTCGGCCCCGCCCTGGGGTCGTTGACCGGCAGGTATCGGAGGCTGGTGATCGGCTGCAGCACCACCCGCTCGGCTGCCTTGTCCAGCGACACAGGATGGTAGTGCCCAGATGCAGTGGGGGAGGCCACACTCTCCAGCAACGAACGAAGCGCACTCTCCCTGATGAACAGATAGAAACAAACAGACAGACAGACAGATGCAGGAAGGGCAGGAGACAGGCCGCTCCTCCCTCTGTGTGTGTGTGTGTGTGTGTGTGTGTGTACCAGATGTCTCGCTCTCTCTTGTCTCTGAATTCCAGCAGGGTGAGTGCAGGTCGGCCGTGGCCACTCCCGGGAGATGCATCGCCGGCCATAGGCGAGGAAGGGTCCGGAAAGGCCGACGGTGGGTGGCCTATGACCAGCACCGGCAGGCCGGCCTCTTCGGCATGCAAATCCGTGTAGAGCTGCGCCTGCAGACGACTGATCTCGCTGATGACGACTGCACCACGCACACAGACAGACAGACGGACAAACCATGGCACACAACCAGAATGAGACTGCATGTGTGTTTGCGTGTGTTACTCTTGATGGGGTCGCCTCGCTTCTCGCTCGCAATGGTGAGGACCTGCATCTTATCGTCAACACTTACAATCGCACGCTGCAACAGGGAAACGGGCACAGCACAGCACAGAGCAGCAGCCACAGAACCACGATTACCCCATTGAGAAGGAATCTACATTCTCACTCCCTCCCCATCACCCACTGTCGGCTCCCGTACCTCTTTGGTGAGGTGTCTGGTGGAGCGGAAGTAACAGCCCGTGGGTCTGCGGAGGACCTCCAGCATGTGCACACCCGCCATAGGTGCGAACCAAATGAATGAGAAGAGTTGACTCTTTCGACGAGACCGACACGTGGTCAGCCGGGAAAATGAATGCGGCAGAAAGGAGACAAAAGTGCACAGCAAACGAACTGTTACCGAGAGCCGTAGAATCCTTTCGTTTGCAAGACTGGGGGCACGTTGGGGGCGAGACTGCGAGCTAAGCTTGTGCCGAAGTTGTACGCTTGCTGCTTGAAGATGAACGGGCCAGCGAAGAAGATAGGTACTGAAAGAAGGAGCAAAGCAGCACTCACTCATCACATGCGTTCATCACACTTCAATCGTATGTGTGATGTGATTGTGATGGCTGCCGCATTCAGGGTTCATCGGTGCGGGTCAGATGGCGACTGCCCTGGCGAAGGGCTTTGTTGCGGCCGGCTGCTGCAGCGTGGACCAGATGCTGCTCTCAGATGCCTTCGCGACGATGAGGGACAAGGCAAAGGCCAACGGGTTCAGCGCCACTGCGAGCAACACCGAGGTGAGCATGGCTGACAGATCCAGCAGACACAGGACGCTCAGATCTGTGCGTTAATGGGTGCAGGTGGTGAACTTCGCTGACGTGGTGTTCGTGTCGGTCAAGCCCCACATCGTGCAGCAGATCCTGCCAGACATCAAGGTGGTACAGGACAGGCACACCCTCCCCCCGCCCTCCACACAAACGCGTCCATTGCCGCCTGCCTTGTCGGCAATTTGCTGGGTGTCCAACCAACCAGGCTCACTGGACGAGCGACAAGATCCTGGTGTCCATCGCTGCAGGCGTCAAGATCGACGCCTACCAGAAGGTCCTCGGCGCCGACACAAAGATCATCCGCGTCATGCCCAACACGCCGTGTCTGATCGGCAAGAGCGCCGCGGGATACGCACTATCGACGTGAGGGAGGCCGTGAGTCAATCAGTGGATCGACAAGCCAGAGAGGAGGGAGGGAGGGAGCATCGGCACACACCAACACGTGTGATTCTGATGGATGGTGTGTGTCTGCAGGGGTGTGCAGGAGGAGGATGGGCAATACGTCGAGAAGCTCCTGAAGAGCGTGGGGGTGGCATATCCGGTGGGGGGCTGGCTGGCTGGGTGGGCTGCATGCCGCATGCAGACACGCCTACGCCAAGGATGTTTAGAGTGCATCTCTGTTCGATGTTGCTTGCTGCGCTGCAGGTGCCGGAGAACCTGTTGGATGCCGTGACTGGCGTGAGTGGGTCAGGTCCTGCATTCGTCTACACTTTCATCGAGGCCATGTCAGACGCAGGCGTCAAAGGGTCAGTGAAGGAGGGTAGTCCACGACCGGCCGACCAGATGACAACCATACGTTGTCTCCCATCCTCTCTCTCGTGTGCCTGCAGTGGACTCCCGCGAGCAGTGGCGTCAGGCCTGGCAGCACAAACCGTTCTTGGCGCAGCAGCAATGGTCAGACAACACTCGACGGAAAGAAACTCTCGAGGCAAATTGACTTACTCACTCTGGTCTCTTTGTGTGTTGTGCAGGTGTTGGAGACGGGTACCCATCCGGCTGTGCTGAGGGAGCAGGTGACGTCGCCTGGCGGGACGACCATCGCTGGCGTGGCGGCATTGGAGGAGAACGGTATGAGGCATGCAGTGATATCTGCAATTGATGCCGCCAGACTCAGGGCCACTGAGCTCTCAAAACAGTGACATCCTGGACGGGACGGGGGTGGTGTTTAGTGGGGGGCGGGTGTTTGCAGTGAGTGCGCGTGTGTGAGTCTTTTGCCGTCTCTCCGTCTTTTGCCGACTCTTCTCCTCAGTCTTTTTCGGGTGTTTGAGACGGAGAGAGAGAGAGAGTTTGTTGGCTGCATATTTCTGAATGCGACGCGACGACTGAGCAAAAAAATGTCCATTGAGATATCGGAGGAAGAAGTCGTGCCCGCATGCAGCCCAGCGAAAAGCGTTGTCAGTCACATCGACAGTAAGTCAGTCAGTCTCTACATGGCATGACACCAAACAATCAGCCCACCCCCCCGCCCAAAATCGACATCATATATCCCCGTGTTGCCCGCGCCCTGCTCTCTCGTGTGCAAGCGGCCTCTCTGCCTGCCCGCGTGCCCCCCTGCAGGCCATACGTCCATCCGTGCATCCATCAGCATGGCTTGGCTAGCCCATCGGCGGGAGGATCCGCCTGCATGTGGGGCACTCCATCTTGACGTCCATCCACTGCTGCAGACACGTCGCATGGAACAGATGGTCACAAGGCGTCACCACACGACTCCTGAGCACAACACACCAACACACGAACACGGCATTCACCTGACGCCCCTCCCTCAAGTGTAGACCACATGTCATGCATCCATCGCCCACCTCACCTGTCGTCAGCCTTGATCTCCGACATGCAAATGACACACTCGGGCAGCGAGGACTCCTCCCCGCCCTCCACGTCAGACTGGGAGGGGGCGCGCAGAGCCACGGGCCTGTAGTAGTTGTAGACGTGCGGCAAACACCACAACGGCACGAAGAAACGAGAGCCGAACCGACGCTGCGCGAAGATTAGCGCCACCTGGGAGCCCTGCCAAGTCAAACACAACACATCCATGGACAGGCCGTTCCTCCCCGCGTCTCGTCTGTGTGTGTGGAGTCTTCCCTACTTGCAGCAAGACGATGGTGGCACAGACGTAGAGGCTGGGTGCGCCAGGGATGGTGGGGTACATGTCGCCGTTGAAGATGGAGGCGGGGCAGCCCCACACGTACAGCGGCAGGAACAGCCGACACGCACTCATACCAAGCACAAAGGTCGGGTGAAGCGAATACCTACACACAACACACACAGGGAGAGAGATATCTATATCCCTCAACAAACACACCACACCGCTCTCTGTGTCTGCCCGTCCCGTGTGTGTGTTTGCCCGCCCACATGCAGACCTGTGGCCGCCATAGATGTCCCAGACGATCTGGGGCAGCCAGAAGGTGTACATGAGCACGACAAGGAAGGGCAGGAAGTCCAGGAGTTGATAAAGCACAAACAGCCCCAGCAGCAAGGCACCGTAGAACCGCGTGTAGAGGAACGACAGCTCCGACCTGATCACCTCCCAGCCCTGGTTGAACCGCTCCTGACGCCGCGCACGCCAGATCGTCAGCAGGTACCGCACTTCGAACAGCGAAAACAGCACAAACTGATTGATGCCAAAACACACACACAGCGGGAGGGACAGTGGGGGTGGACGTCATTGTGTTTGGATGGTGACGCACCGCAGCTTACCTTGAAGAGGGCGATGACGGCAAAGCTGTTGAACATGTACTGTGAGGTGAGGCCGACACCGAGATGGAGGAGGGCATCGTAGCCGTCAAGGAACGCCTGGAGGCCGATGCCGATCAGCGACACCTTGCTGGCGCTGCTGCCCGTCTCGGTGTGAGCCATCTGAGCCAAAAAGAAACGAATCTGACAGACCCGATAGCGCATACACAGAAACAAAGAGACAGACACTTAATCCCGCAGTGTGAAGTACAGACAGACCCTCAGATATATCTGCTGACTGCCCGCACCTGACCTGCAGGGCGGCGACAAAGCTGACAATGACCGAGTAGGTCATGATCTTGCCGTTCAGCTTCACCAGGTTGATCTCCGACACAAAGAACCGCATCACGAACTCACAGTCAGGCGACACCAGTTCACCCACGCCGTCGAAGTCAGCACCCACAGCAAGCCGACCGGTCAGGGAGCTCGCCCCCTCGCCCCCGCCGAGGCCAAAGGACGCCAGGCCGAGCAATCGAGACCACCAGGACGCATGAGTCGGCTGTGTGCCGTTGGGCGAGGCCGGCTTGTCATCGTCTTCTTGGTGCAGTGGGAGAGAGGGGGCGGGAGGAGGGTCAAGGCGGGTGGAGGTGGACCACCTCACGACGGTGTCGTCCTCCTGGAGATTCAGGTTCCTCAGTCTGAACGGGCCGAGTCCGCCAACCTCCCCGAGCTGAGGGATCTTGGACACCGACTTGCCCTCGTCCACAAAGAGGTTGAATGTCCCGTCAACGCTGCACACGCCCCTCCCGTCCCGACGCTTCCTCCCCGCGTCGTCACCACTCGGCCTCTCCACCAGGTTGAACCGCTCAGGCTGCGTGCGCCCATGCACCACCAGGGCCCGGCCCGCCTGGAAGTTCAGCCCGCTGAGGAGGATCTCCTGCGCGCCGCCGTGTGTGTCCATGAACCACAGCCGCATGTCTGACTGCTTGATGTTCTGCAGGTGGGTCGTGACGACGCTCAGCTGCGCGCGGATCGAGTTCTCCACCAGATCGAGGCCGGCCTGCGGGGCCGACAGCTGGTACATGCCCTTGAAGGACATCGTGTAGGAGCCGCCGGTGTCCACTGACCGCTCCGATCGGCCCACTGTGGCTGGGTCGCGGTCCCACGAGTAGCCCTGCCCACCGCCTGTCGCCCCTTCACCACCATCGTGATTGGCATTCCCGTTGTCCATGCCGTACATAAAGTCCGTCAGAATCAGAAAGAGAATGAAGGCCGCCACACACTGGACGCACGACGCCTGCCGCTGCCGTTGCGGGTCGTCGTCCGAGCCCATCCTCGCGAGGCCAGGCACAGGCCCCGGCAACACGCCGCCTCCTTGTTGAGGGGCTATGGCATTGTTGCCAACAGGGTTGTCTGGGGGAGCCGGGGGAGGGGCTGGGGCAGCTGGGGCGGCTGCAGGGGCAGTGCCGGAGGGCTGGCTCGCCTCTGATTGACCCGCACTTGCCTCATCCTGGTCAGCAGCATCCTCCGCCCCTGCAGCAGCACTGGCGCTGGTCGGTTCTTCATCATGATCGAGCCGCGCTGAGCTGTCCGACACTCTGGTCCATGGCGGCCACAGAGGCACCCGCGCGTATCTGCCGCTTCGCCCGGTGAAGAAGCCTCTGCGTGGTTGCTCGACAGAATGACCAGCTGACTCCCCTTCTTGGCGTGGCGTGCTGCCATCGCTGCTCTGCCGGTCCATCGGAGAGGCCGACTGCTCGAGGGAAACGTGCGCGTTTCGAGAATCACTTTCTCAGCTCGCACAAGTAAGCTCGCAAGTGGCGAGGAGAAAAATCCCTTCGAGGCAGCGTCTAGTGCCCAGGTGCTGCATCGGACGAGCCGTAGACCTTGTTTTTCGTCCAAAAGAGCTGTTGGAACGAAGGCGAGGCGGTGCCGCGGCGGAGGTGAAGCAGCTCGTCGAGTAGAGCATCCCCCGACCCCTCTACCCCCCTTGATCTGAAGCGACACTCCCTTCCACCTTCGGCATTTGCCCATCCATCGAGCTGAGACGACGGGAGACCGACCCGGCGCTGTCAGCGGCAGTCTGACCGACACACCCCTCGAGCTCCCTGTCTTGGCATCGTCGACGCGGCGCCGCGGAGGCAGCAAGCCGTCGGCGCCATGATGATCGATCCAACCCCGACAACGCATGCGTGGTCAGCGGGTCGGCCGAGAGGACCATCCCAGGTGGTCAATGGAGTCGGAGGCCAGCCATCCCCCCCTGCCAGCGGTGCGCCAGAGGCCCAGGGAGACTTCCCCGCTCTCTCCGGCTCCCCCGCCTCACCCGATGCATCCGACCGCATCGAGCGGCTCAACTCACAGGGCAGCGCGTGGAGCCGCGGGCCGTCGTTTCTCCACCACGGCAACGGCGAGGGCGAGGAGGGCGGCGGTGGTGGTGAGCGTGCGGGCCAGGGCGTCGTCTCCTACTCGCGCAGTGAGCTGTACGAGTTGATTTGCTGCGTTGACCGAGACGAGGAGGGCCGGCTGCCGCACCACGACCAAATCAGCTGCGAGATCCACCGGCCGGAGGGTCTCCGACACCCCAAGGACGCGGGATTCCTGTACCAGTACACGGCTCCCAAAGACCGCGACAGAGACGGTGAGGAAGGGGGATGGATGACACACCGCAAAGCACCACAAAATGACTCACTCTCATGTGTGTGTCCATCTGTCTCACTCTGTCTGTCTGTCTGTGTCTGTCTGTGCGTGTGTGTGTGTGTGTGTATGTGTGTGGTCTTTCAGACTACCGCGGTCCAGGTCCCCGTCGTGAGCGCATAGAGTACGATGAGGGCGAACACCACGAGGAGCACGAAGGCATGGACGAGGACCACCGGGCGCCCAAGGAGGGCTCGCCCCCATTCGGACCCCACTATCGAGGCGGCATGGACAGAGACAGAGACCTCAGGCCAAGGTACACACACACACACAGAGAGAGAGAGAGAGAGAGGGAGGAGAGAGAGATAGACTAGACGTGCTCAGTGCGCCTATCTATGGGTTGTGTCTGTCTGTGTGCATATATCAGGGGTCCTCCACGTCGTGAGGCCAGCGGTGAGGAGGAGGACCGCAACCGTGACCGCCTGCGCAGCCGCCCATACGAGCGAGACCGAGACCGAGACCGCCGACCGCTGGGCCCGCCGGGCATGGCTACCGGCGAGGGGACCGAGGAGCGGAGATGGAACTGGCGACAAGAAAGAGGGTCAGTGAGTTAGGTGGTCACACTCACACACCATCACACACCATACACCACACACACCCGAGGTGATTGACGCGTGTTTCTCCGTCCCTGTCTGTTGTCTGACAATTGTCAGTCGTGACGGCCCCGTCCCGCCCGGCATGTTCCACCGAGACCGTGACCGCCCGATGCGCGATTTTCGAGACCGGGAGCCCCGCGACAGGGAGGGGTACGAGCCTCGCGAGCGGCGCATGCGTGACGACCGTGACTGGGGCCGTGTTCGGGCCGACGACCGAGAGGAGGGCCGGTACAGAGACGAAGACGAGAGGGACCGGGACGAGGAGGACCGCCAGCCGCGATTCGGTGGCCGCCCGCGAGACAGAGACCGGGAGCGGGAACGGGACAACGAAGAGGAGCCTGAGCGGTGAGGCAGACAACACACATAGACACAAAGGGAGGGAGGGAGGGACGGACTCATCCAATCCACGCCTGCATCTTATCTTCCGTCCCTGTTGTGTTGGGTTATCTTATGGTATGTATGTTGTCTTGTTTGTGTCAGTTGGAAGATGCTTCGTGTCGGTCTTCGCGAGCGAGAGCAACGCGAGCGCGACCAAGGCCGCGACCGGGACCGGGACCGCAGAGACGCCGGCAGGGACCGACGCGACATGGACATCGAGAAGGAGCAGGCCCCAGCCCCACCCGACACCCGACAGCAGCAAGGCAAGGAGAGCCCCTCGGCGGCAGCAGCAGCAGCAGTAGCAGCCGGCCGTGCTGAGAGCCCGACAGGTGCTGAGGGCACCCCGAAGGACGACAAGAAGGCCATCGGAGGTGTGTTGGGTCTGGGGCTCAAGAAGCCCGACATTGGCACGGGCTCGTTCCGCCCCGGCGGCCTGTCGTGGAAGGATCGCAGCGAGAGTTCGGACAAGTTGGGCAAGGAGGAGCCGCCCGGTCGTGTGCGTGAGGGCAGCGGCGAGGGCCCTGAGGTTGGCCCGACTGGCGAGGATGTGGCCGTGGTCATGGACGAGAAGGAAGAGGCGGCTGAGGGACAGTACTGGGAGGACGATGATGAGCAGGTGCGTGCGTGACAGATAGAGCAACCTGTGCGTCCGTCCACCTGGGCTATCTGACACACTTGTGTGGTGTGTTGTCATGTCGGTCAGTTCATGCCCCTCACCCGCTCATTGATGGCTCGCCAGCAGCGTCAAGAGGAGGAGTCCCCGCAGCCTACCAAGCCCGAGCCGCCCCCCATCCCACCGGCACCCGAGCAGCCTCCACCAGCAATGCCCGAGAGAGAGGCACTACCAGCCGTCTCTCCCCTCTCCCACACGGACATGGCGTACCAGCCGTCACCCGTGTCGCCCATCAAGCAGCTTTCGCCCATTCCCCCGGCACCCATTGGCCCACCACCCCCTCCCAAGGCTCCAGAGGCCCCCGCCCTGCCGGCGGCCGAGGCAGACACCAGCGCGCCAGCTGCCACCAGAGTGTCTCGTGTGCAGTCCTCCGTCACCCAGGCCCAGGCAGGGCCGGCAGCAGCGGCTGGTGGCCCAGGCAGGCCCAAGCAGAACAAGTCCCTGTCGCTGCTCGAGCGCATCGGAATCAGCACGCTCGGCGGGGACGAGTCTGAGGAGGACGACGAGCGAAGCCCCGTGCAGCGTGATTTCCGCGCCGCTGACCAGGGCGGCGTGGCACCACAACTGGAGCAGCAGCAGCAGCCGAGTGGACAGGAGGGCTTCGGCCCCTTCGCTCCCCAGCCGAGCCTGTTTGGCGGTGCCATGGCGATGGGAACAGTGCCCACAATGGGCGACGGCTCGCGCGATTTCCGCTACGACGGGGCTGTTGGGGTGGTGCCGGCGAGTGTGAGCGCCCCGATGGCGCCAGCGGGTCCGGTGCCGAACGACCAGGGGCAGGGGCGGATGCTCCTGAGTCTGATCAATGGATCCACCAACATGCCTGATGCAAGTAAGCTAAACACGAGACGGTGCAGTGCAGCCATCCATCATTATGTCCGTCTCTCTGTCTGTCTGGTTGTGTGTTTGTGTGTTAGCATTCATCAACCGTCCAGGCCCATTTGCCGGAGGCCTCAGCCGTGACGTGACGGGCGGCTCCTTCGCCTCGGCCAGCAGCCAGCCTGAAGATATGGGCCCCCGGGATCGTGCTGCAGCTGCTGCTGCGGCCGCCCGCCCCCCTCCCCAGCAAGACACCTTTTTTGGTCCGATGCCTAGCGACACCATGCCGCTGCAGCAAGGCCCCATGTCGATGATGGCCGCACAGGGCATGGGCGTGCCTCAGGCTTTCCCACCGGAGCCCTCGATGGAAGTGCTCAACTCGTGGCCGCCCCTGCGGTATGACAACATGCCGTCGCAGTCGCCGGTGACGGTGCGGGTGGTGCGGCGCGGGTCTCGCCACGTGGTGGGCCAGGTGGAGCAGCCGTACTCGATGGAGGCCGGCGTGTGGTACTACATCGACCTGCAGGCCCAGGTGCAGGGGCCCTTCAACAGCCAGCAGCTGCACCAGTGGAGCAACTACTTCAAGGACGACAACCTCTTCCACCTGATGTGCAACCTCGGGCAGCACCCGCAGCCCTGCCCGCCACACCAGCAGCCCCTCTACGGACACGGCTTCTACCCCAAAGTCCTCTTCTTCGCCAAGAACGACCCCCGCGGCCCGGCATTCACCTTCCCCGTCTCCAACATCCCCCTCAGCATCGTCAACTGCCCCGGTGTGAGGGCGCCACCCACCCTGCCCGGACCAGAGGTCATCCACATGGCGCCGCAGCGTCAGATGGGCGCCGGGGGCTTCCAGCACGGCCAGGGGGCGGGGGGAGGAGGCTTTTGGCCTCCCGCACAGGGCGGCATGGGGCACCATCACGTCGACGATCACGGAAACGGGCCTTACAACGCCGCCAGTACTGCGATCGACGCCGGGAGCGACCGACAGCTGTCGCAGCCGATGGAGCCTGTGGCTCGAGAGGTCTCGCTGCCGTCTGCAGCATCCCCCCCTCAGCCGACGGCCACTGATGAAGACGGTTTTTGGAGTGTGGAGCCAGCTGCCCCCGACGGCAGCCAGAAGGACGGGGGCATCGGTGTTGGTGCTGTGGTTGAGCACAGTCAGGAGTCGCCTGTGGTGGGCGGCGAGGTCATGGACGAGGCTGCCGGCAAGGGCGGGGAGGCATCGGCCAAAGCTGCGCGAGCGAGACGTCGCGGAGGCAGGGTAAGAATCGAGACCTCACACACACACACACGACCAACACACCTCTCTTGTCCCGTCCCATGTATCTGTGTGCCAGGGCCGCAAGGGCAGCAGCGGTGAGTTCGAAGAGACGCCCCCGGACGCCTCCACCCCGGTCGAGGAGCCATCCCCGCAGGCCGACGAGGACTTCCACGAGGTGGTGCGCAAGGGACGCGCCAAAGCCAAACCCAAGGCAGCCGGCAAGAAGTCGCCCACAGGCACCGGTGCGGGCAGTGGCGAGATGGTCGACTCTCTGTCCAAGGGCACCACGCCCGTGGGCGCCACCAACAACCGCGAGGCCTCCAGCCACCTCAAGTCGATCCTCGGCGTGGGCAACGACGGCACGGGGCAGCCACCGGCCAGCATGATACCGCAGTATCCGCTGAGACCATCAAACACGCCGAAAGGAGCGGTGAGTGAGCTGAGCCCTCATTCCTCTCAAACACCTTCCCACTCTGAATGCAATGCTCCACCCTCCCTCTCTGTGTGTGTCTCACTCAGGACGCCACTCAGCGAAAAGTTTACGTGGAGCACCGTCGCCAGAACGACTCCTCTGGCGGCAGTGGCAGTGGCGGGTATGCGGCCCTGCCGGTGTCGACAGGCGCGGGTTCGATGCATGGGATCCTGGAGGAGCAGGAGCGCGAGAGGCAGCGCCGTGTGCGTGAGGAGGAGGACCGGCGGGAGGTGCTGCGGCTGCAGAGGGAGGAGCGGGAACAGCTGCAGCGGATGCAGGGACCAAACTCGTATGCCTCCACTGTGGTGAGGGAGTGAGGGAGGGAGGGAGGGAGGGAGACACACACAGACATGTGTCTGAGAGAGTGTCATGTGTGTGCGTGTGCAGGGCGGGAATGTCTATGGCATGTATCGTCCGCAGGGATTCAGTGCAGTTGAGGACACCGTAAGCGACGCTTCACTCACACACGAGGGAGGGAGGCCATCCATGCATTGCGTGCAGGCCTGTACTGCATCCGCCTTGTCTTGTCTGTCTGCGATCGTTCAGGATTTCCCGACGCTGGGCAGCGCTGCAGGCGATGACAAGTTCACCCCCAGCAAGCAGCAGCAACAGCAGCAGAAGAAGAAGGGCAAGCAGAAGTTCACCAAAGTCGACAACAAAGACTTCTTCGGCGGCACCAATGTCGCTGCCAGTGGTGCAACCAACGCCAACCCTTCATCAGCCCAAGACACCAATGCAGCAAACGTAAGAGCAGAGCACTCACACACACATACATATACACATGACTGACTGACGCCCCAAACGGCAAACGTCTCTCATCTCATCTGTGTGTCCGTGTCGTGTTGTGTGTCTGTCAGGATGCCTCTGGTGTGTGGGATCGCCGCCCCATGATGGGCGGCAAGGGGCCCTCAATCGACACTCACGACGAGATCGACACGGCACGCGGCGATTCCCACAACCCCAAGGCCAACGACGACGGCGGCGAGGGCTTCTGGGACACCGCCGACGCCCAACACGACTCCAGCATGTGGGACAACGAGCCACCCACGACCGGCAGAGCCCCCCACTCCCGCCACCCCCAACACAACGGGGCATCCAAGGGCGTGTGGGACGACCCCCACCCGACATCTGCAGCTGTGGCGGCCGCACCCGCATCGACCGTGGAGAGCGGCCCCTTCCCTTCCCTCTCCCTGACTCCCAAGGCCACACCGCAGCAGAACTCCATCAATCCCAACAACACACGCGTCTCGCCAGGCAGCGGCGGCGGGATTGGCCGCGGCAAGCGCCAGAGCAGTGGCAGCGGCCCCTGGGAAAAGGCCAATACCGGTGCAACGGGTGGTCCCAAAGGTGCGGCAGAGTTCCCGACCCTGGGTGGCGCTCAGACGCCTGGGTCTGACGGTGGGGAGGTGGACAGGGCCGAGGGGCGACAGAAGAAAAAGAAGGGTCGCGGCGAGGAGCCCGGGGCAGCAGCAGCAGCTGCTGCTGCTGGTGGTAGCGGTGGCGGTGGGATTCCTGCGCCCATTGTGGACATCCCCAGCGAGATTCCGAAACGTGAGGAGAGAGAGGGAGGAGTGGACGGAGCATCTCAGTGAGTGCTGCATCGGTCATCGTTGTGTGGGTGTCTGTCTGTTCAGCGGTGTGTGACGTGATTCATCGCTACCACCTCAGCGACACGTTCATGACCCCGGAGATCCTCAACTACGTCAGCTCGATGGTCAGCGACCCGCGAGACCCACAGATCAAATCAATGCTCGCACGTACACACACAGACAGATGGCCGGTTTGTCCGTCTGTCTGTATGTGTGTGCAGAGCATCAGCGACCTGGAGGACTTCATCGACAGCAACCTCACGACCAGCCTGCCCCTGGAGAAGTCCAAGGAGATCGCCAGAGCCCTCAACGGCGCACTAAAGCAATCTCACCTGCAACACAACAATGGTACGCACTCCACGCATCCATCACACCAACACACCACCAGCATCGGGCACACACACGCACATCGTGCCGTCATGTCTCCCTCTTCGTACTGCAGACATCCCCTCCGGCCCTTCCACTGAGTCCTTCCCGGACCAGCAGCCGTCCCCCCCTCCATCGGCCACCCCTCCGTCAGGCACCAACAATCCCTCTGGTGGCGGCACCAGCCGTGGCGGCCGTCGTCGCAAGGGCAGCAAGGGCCAGAAGGTGGACCCCTCCATGATGGGATTCATCACCAAACCGCCGCCACGAGTGACCGACGACTGACTGACTGACAAGGGGAGGAATGGACGAGCTGTTGCGGGGCGGCGCAGTTGGAGCGGTCGGTCGGCCGATCGATCGGTCCATCCGCCACTCACTGACTGATCTGTAGTGTACGATAGGAGGGAGGGAGGGAGGGAGGGAGAGGGTATGGGGTGGGGGCGTTTTCGCCCGGATACTTGCTTGCTTAAGTGGGTGGGTGGGTGCGCACACACACGCACACATGGATGGATGGGGGGAGGGAGGGCTGGATGGATGGATGGATGGATGAGGGGATGCATCTTGGCAAGAGGGAGATGGCATGTCGTGGCGTGGCGTGGCATGAGTGAGAGAGTGCACTGAATGAATGGATGGATGGATGGATCAATGGATGCTTGTGGTGGCTCCTTTCTTTTGCCGCCCTTCCCTCTTCCCCTCTCTCTCACTTTCTCCCCGAGTCGCTCGCTGCCCAGTGAGTGAGCTGTGGCCATTTTAAGCGAGAATGCCCGGCGTACCCAACACAGACAGACAGACAAGGAAACAAGGAAGCGAGCAACCGAAATGCCTTCAGTTTCGGGATCCCTGGTGCTTTCAACCAACTGAGTCTTGTGACCCACACACACACACCTACACCTGGGGGAGAAAGTAAGAGGGTGGGGCGGGTCGGGTGAGTGAGATGCCGATTGACCGAACCGAACGACACTACTGCTTTTGATATCATGGATCTGAGCGAGCGTTTGGCGTGGGTGTGTGGCGGCGGCATCCATCCATCCATCCTTCCCTCCATGTGTGCCGTGGCATGGTGTGGCATGACCATTGATTGACTGATTGATCCGTACGTGACGTAGGCTAGGCTGGGGTCTGCCGCCGTCCCGTCTGCAGGCAGAGGTCAGCGGCTTGGCATGGCTTGGCTTGGCTGGTGTGTGGATGGATGGATGGATGTGCTGTGCTTGCGAGACACACACATAAGAGCGAGACATCAAGATTCCTTGACGCATCAACGCATCTTTGCAGGAAGTAACTCATGCACCTGCAGTTCGCTCGCTTTGCGAAAGCATCCCATGCAACGTGCCCACCCACGTCACGTCCACTATCTCTCTCCACATCACATCACACGGACTGAGCAGCCACAGCTTCTTGTCCGCTCTCCACACTGGTGCTGCCGGTGCTCAGCAGCCATTCTCTCAGCTTGCCTATCCTATCATCGAGACACACACACGGCACGCCCTCCTTCACAGCAAGACTCAACAGACGCACCTGCACACACACACACACGAGGCCGATCACTCCTCAACTTGTGTGTGGTGTGCATTCATTCAGTGCTCACTGCACTGACCTGCTGGCCCACGTCCGGCCCGCTCATGCGTCCCGTGAGTGCCAGCCTTATCGGGTGGAACAGCCGCTTCCCTTTGCGGCCCAGCGACTTGCCCACATTCTTCACCCACCCCTTCCACGCACTCTCGAACTCAGCCCCGTCTCTGCCATCGCCAGTCGGCAGCGCCCCACTGTCGTGTGCCTCAACAACAGCTCTCGCCACATCCACAAAGCCGTCCTCCAACAGCTCACTCGCCTCCCCAGATGAGATGGTGTCATCGAGTGGGTGCTCGAGCAGCGCGCTGACGAGCCCCGGTGCCTCGTGAGCGAGCTGCAGCGGCTCCCTGACCATGTCGACGGCGAGCTCCCTGAAGCCCCCTGTGCCCTCGTTGCCACCGATGCCCGCCTTGTCGAGCTGCCGGCCGAGTTGCTCCAGGATAAGGGCGGGGTCTTGTGCCTTGAGGTGTTGGCTGTTGACCCAATTGAGCTTCTGTAGGTCGAACACGGCGCCCGAGGAGCCCACACGGTCAAGGGAGAATGAGGAGACGAGTTCGTCCATCGTGTAGATCTCCCTGCATGCCATCCATAGCAAGGCATGATGTGACTTGGGTTCATTGGTCCTTCTGCAGTAATTAATTATGCTCACTTTTCGGTGCCGGTGCCCTCGTTCCAGCCGAGTAAGGCCAGGTAGTTGTTGAGAGCTTGGGGAAGGTAGCCCTGCTCGCGGAACTGCCCCACCGAGGTGGCCCCATGGCGCTTGCTGAGCTTGCTTCTGTCGGTCCCAAGGATGAGCGAGCAGTGGGCGTACTCCGGCGCGGGGTACCCAAGCCCATCCAGTATGAGCAGCTGCCTGAGTGTGTTGCTGAGGTGCTCCTCCGCCCGAATCACGTGGGTGATCTCCATCAGGGCGTCGTCGACAGCCACGCAGAAGTTGTAGACGGGCATGCCCGACGACCGTAGGATGATGAAGTCACCCACGGCCGACCCAGCGTCCCATGACACCTCACCGCGCACGTGGTCATTCACCGTCACACGCTTGCCACTTGGCACCCTGAAACACCGACAGACACACAGACACATACAGACATGACATACAGACATTGGTCGCGTGTGGGTGACCGACCTGAATCGGATGGTATATGGGACGCCCTGCTCCTTCATCTTGGCGATCTCATCTGGATCGGCGTCGCGCCATGTGCCGTCATAGTGCGGCGGGCGGCCCTCCTCCTCGGCTCGCTGTCGCATGGCCTCCAGCTCCTGGTCGGTGCAGAAACATGGGTAGGCCAGCCCTGCCTGCACCAGACGATCGGCCATGTCCCTGTCGGCAGATGGAAGGGCGAAAGGAGGGAGAGACTGGTGGTGAGAGGACCATGTCCTTGTGTGTCTGGCTGCGTACTTGTAGATGTGAGTGCGTTCGGACTGCCTGTAAGGCCCATATTTCGACTCGGTGCCGGGACCTTCGTTAGCCTCCAGACCGAGCCACCTGTCGTGTCGAACCATCCACCCCACACGGCGCATATATTATCTATCTGTGTGCCGTACCTGCATGCATCCACTCTACGCAAGCAGGCACGCACCAACCCTACCTGAGGTCTTCCATGATGCCGTTCTCCGACTCCCTTGTCGACCGTGCCGTGTCGGTGTCCTCCACCCTGATGACAAACTTGCCCTTGGTCTGCTTCGCCAGCAGATAGTTGTACAGGGCCGTGCGCGCGCCGCCCACATGCAGTGAGCCCGTGGGTGAGGGCGCGAAGCGGACACGCACGGGACCATCCACAGGCGTCTGCCAGACAGACCACGCAAGTAGTTTCTATGAGTGTGAGTGCATGCCTTGTTCAGTGGGTTGCTCACCTTCTTGGTGACGATTGCATCGCTCCCTGACGCCCTGAGGCTCTGCACACCGCAGCGTTGTGACCTCTGGCCACGCTGCCGCCTCCCAAAACACCGATGGCTGCTCAGATGAAATGCAGACACGGCATCGGCGAAGAAGCAGATCACCACGGCAACGCTGACTGCAGCCGGCCATGATGTGTGGTGCTGCTGCCGTCTCCTGTGATGATCTGCACAGCTTGTGGGAGGTCCTGCTGATGAAGAGGGACGAGATGCTGCTGTCGCCGAGGTGGGAATGTGTTGATTGTGGCGAGATGACAGCATGGGCTGGGCGGTGCTCTGCTCCTCTGGTTGCTTGTCCTCCTCTGCCATTTGCAGCTCAAACGCAGCGCGGGATCGATCCTCAGTGCCAAGCTCGCAGTTTGGTGGCTTCGTCAAATCGCCCCGCTCTACCGAGGCTTCGTTCAGGTGAACTGAACTTCATCTAGCTGTATCGCATCAGCATCAACGATTTGCCACTGAGATCTATCAGGAAAGCAGATGCTGCTGTCCCCTCGCGATCCCTCAAGTTCCCCCAGCCCTCCATCTTCCCCATCATCCGCCGCACTCTCGGCATCGTCATCGGCTGAATGCAGCTCGCCGCGAGCAGCCGCAGCCAACAAAAGGGCGGTCTACACGCTACTGGCCTTCTCAGCCCTCTTTCTCGTCCTTCTCGCATTGACGTGGAGTCACCACATGGGCATGGGGGGGGTCGGCCAGGACGTGGCGCTGCAGCGCGGTTACCAAGATAGGTGGACGAGCATCCCTGTGGCGATGCTGAGGCGCTCTCGAGGTGGGGGCGCCGCATCAGCATCAGCGGATCCAGTCCATTCGTCATCCCCGTCCCTCTTCCCCACTCCCTACTGGTACCCTCAGCTGCGGTGGGTGTTCGTCATCACCCCCACCCACAGGCGCTTCACGCAGCGGCTAGATCTCGTCAGGCTGGGAAACACTCTCGGCCACGTGGACAACGTGTATTGGGTTCTGGTGGAGGACAGCGCCAGGCGGTCACACAAGGTGGACAGGTGGCTGAATGCCAGCATGGTGCAGCACTGGGCCCACTTATGGCGGCCGACACGGGGCAGGTGGCAGGTCAGGGGCGCACAGCAGCGGAACCACGGGATTGCTCAACTCAGGCAGATGATCAACGAGGAGACTGACCAAGCGCTTAGGAAGGCTTACCAGGTGATTGACAAGATATCTGCGCACGGAGCTCTCCCCACCTGTCTGTCCTTCTGTCTGCAATCGCATCGCATCTTATCAGGATGGTGTTGTTTACTTTGCCGATGACGACAACGCGTACGATGTTGCGCTGTTCGACCAGATCAGACAGGTCCGCTCCCTGGGTGCGTGGCCTGTCGGTCTGTGTGGCGGCCACTTCGTCCAGCGGTGCATCGTCGACCCGGGCACGGGCAAGATCGTCGACTACATCGCATGGAACGCACGGAATCGCAAATTCCCCATCGATATGGCGGGCTTTGGGGCGCATGTAAGGCACTTTCTGTCACCCGATTCGCCTGAGGACGTGCCCATGTTCAACGTGAGCAGCATGAGCGGGCAGCTGGAGAGCGACTTCATCGACGGTTTCGGTATCCCGCTGGCGGAAATAGAACCATTGGGGGACAACTGCACAAAGGTCAGCCAGTTGAGTCGGGAGTGGAGGACAGACAGGCTCGTGCAGCTCAGCTTTGTTGACCTCCCCCCCTTGTGTTGCGTTGTGGTGTGCAGGTGAATGTGTGGCACGTGCGGACGGCTGTCGAGAACTTCACCCGCTACTCGTTTGACGAGTTGTTTGATGTGTGATCGATCGGCTCACTGGCCGAGCCGAGCTCGTTTGTCACGTTGATTGGATGATAGGACTCTCATGGACGTACGTACGTACATCGATCGTTTTTCAGATTTTGCAACGAGCGAGCGGTCCGGTCGACGCTGGAGCATGTGATGTGATAGTGATGTGATGTAATTCCTTGCCTGCCTGCTTTTTATCTGTTTTGAGGTGTCCGTCTGCATTGATCTGATCTGATCGATGCGTGTCGTGTGCACCCAGATACCGTACCCGTGTGCATGCGGATGTCCATAGTCAGTCTACCATAGATGGATGGCTGAGGCCAGAGCTGCGCACCGCGGGATGCGCAAGTGTACTGGATAGATAGATCAGTCACGAGTCGTGTCTTGCTGGAGGGAGGCCGGGTGCCAACGCAGTGGGTCTGTTTCTTTGTCATTGTGACATTGGTCACGCTGAGCACGTCTGCTTTGCTTCTGAGCGTCAGGCGTGCGGGGGCGTGATTAAGGCACCGTGACAAAGGAACACACCCTGCCGGCATGCCCCAGCTGCATCATGCATGTGTGGCCTGCCTGCACGTCACCCATGCACGTGAACATGAGTTTCCTAGGTCAGCATCATGACCCTTGCGTGTAGACAGGGGGAGAAACTGTCATTAACCGTAACACTCGTTTGTGTGTCCGTGATACTCATACAAATACAGTCCCATCAGCACGCAGAGTCAAACAGGCTCAAGGGGAGGAGGGATCAATCCCCGCCCCATCAGCACACCCCAGTCCCGCAAACCCTCCCCTCCCTCCCCCACGCAGACAGAAGCTAGTCGCACGCGCGAGGGCGATAGACAAGCGAGAGCGAATCCATCCAGACACATGACTGAACCCCCGACCCTTCCACCCCTCCTTCTCCAACAGCGCATGAG